GGAGCAACGTCCTGAGACAAACTGCTGGCTGCTGCCTATTTGTCAGCCTGTGGCTCGTTCCCTTTTATAAGGCTATTTATAAGCCTGGGGTGTGATAAGTAAGGACAGAAAAAACGGAATATTGAGTCACTGACAAGCGACTCTCTCTTTAAGGGAGATCTTTTTTCACTTTGTGGCTCTTCCACTTGGCTATCCCCCCCCCCAACAAACGACTACCTATCTACTGTATCTCCACCACTCCAGAGTAGATCTCCGCCTCTGTCTTTCTATAGAATACTCCATCCCTTCAACTTCCCCCACAGACATCTGTGCAGTTTAGCCAGTGCCAGCGGTCAAATCCTCTGGGGTCATCCAGAGGATCACACAGACGAAAGAAATGTGACTGCCCATCCTTTCTGTCCTCCTCCATTTACAGCCCTTTTCCTCTGCCCTCATTTGTATTTGCTGTGACGAAGAGTTTATATTAGCTGGAAATTGAGGGAGCTGTTGAGGCAAGACATTGAACTTCAGATAGATAAAACCACTGACCTCTGAAGTCAGACACAAGTAAGAGAACATTTAATAAAAATGATAAAGGCAGTATTTAAATGGAAATTGCAAAAAGGAAAAAGAAAATATATTTATAGTTTAAAACAAAATACATTGTTTAGCTGACAGGTATACCTTTTTCAAGAGATTTACAATATTTACTATATTTAGGAGATGTATTAAAGTAAGGCCACAATTAAAATCTTTGAAGTGTACAAAATAATTGTTTATTTAGAAGCTAAATGTCAGCAGCAAATGTCAACATTTTTTAATTGAAACCCATTAAGTTTGCCAGACTATTTACGTTAAAGTCAGGTTTGTGCGGAAACGGTGTATCCTCGATGACCCCCAATGTTGGTCACAAACGTCCCACAAGAGTCTGTGCTTGGACCAATTTTATTTACCCTGTATATGCTTCATTTGGGCGACGTTATCAGAAAACACTGCATAAACTTCCATTGTTATGCATACGATACTCAACTGTATCGGTTGATCAAGCCAGAAGAGACCGACCTGGGCCCTGTTCCTCGAACGTGGTTCAACTAAGTCGATCAAATGTCCGATTATCCAGCTCAAATTACCAAGATGATTGACATCAGGTTATCTCGGTTCCTCGAAGGCGGATCGGGGCTCAAACAGTCTTGTTAGTTGGAACCAGATGTCAATCATCAGGATAATCGCGCGTCTTACGTTAGAAGGCGGAAGAGTCGATCACCGAAACAGTATTACACTTAATTGAATCATTTCTGTCGGATGAATTTAACGTATTATACATATTTTACGTTGTTCATTCTGTACGTCCATCGCAGTCTCTCCGTCCCAGGTAGGATCATCCTGTGTCTCTCTAAAGGTTTCTTCCCTTTATTCTTCCCATTAAAACACGTTTTCATTGTTTGGGAGTTTTTCCTGTGCCGATGTGAGGGTTTCTGGACAGAGGATGTCACAGACAAAATTTGCGATATTGTGCGATACAAAATAAAATTAAATGAATCATATAATCATGGCAAAACTGAAAGGGCCCCCCTGCGAGGCTACAAGCCCGAAAAAGTATCGCAGACAAGTTAACGTTAAATGCGTTTCGGTAAAATGTATAGGCTCATTTAAGTGCCTCGTCATTCTAATCAATCAGATTATATAGTGCATCCGGAAAGTATTCACAGCGCTTTATTCCAAAATGGATTCAATTCATTATTTTCCTCAACATTCTACACACAACAACCCATAATGACAAAGTGAAAACTGTTTTTTGCAAAAATAAAGAACGAAAACATAACATGTACATCAGTATGCACAGCCTTTGCCATGACACTAAAAATTTAGCTCAGGTGCATCTTGTTTCCACTGATCATCCTTGAGATGTTTCTTCAACTTGATTGGATATGATTGAGAAAGGCACACACCTGTCTATATAAGGTATCACAGTTGACAGTACATATCAGAGCATAAACCAAGCCCTGAAGTCCAAGGAATTATCAGTAGACCTCCGAGACAAAATTGTATCGAGGCACAGATCTGGCGAAGGGTACAGAAAGATTTCTGCATTGAAAGTCCCAATGAGCACAGTGGCCTCCATCATCCGGAAATGGAAGAAGTTTGGAACCACCAGGACTCTTCCTAGAGTTGGCCGCCCAGCCGGACTGAGCGATCAAGAGAGAAGGGCCTTAGTCAGGGAGGTGACCAGGAACCCGATGGTCACTCTGACAGAGCTCCAGCATTGTTCTATGAAGAGAGGAGAACCTTCCAGAAGGACAACCATCTCTGCAGCACTCTACAAATCTACAGTGAAGCATGGTGGTGGCAGCATCATGCTGTGGGGATGTTTTTCAGAGGGAGGAACTGGGCGACTAGTCAGGATTGGAGCAATGTACAGAGACATCCTCGATGAAAACATGCTCCAAAGCGCTCTGGACCTCAGGCTGGGGCGACGGTTCATCTTCCAACAGGACAACGACCCGAAGCACATAGCCAAGATAACAAAGGAGTGGCTTCTGCACAACTCTGTGAATGTCCTTGAGTGGCCCAGCCGTGCTTCAACAAATTATTGAGCAAAGGCTGTGAATACTTATGTACATGTTATGTTTTCGTTCTTTATTTTTAACAGATTTGCAAAAATTTGCAAAAAACAGTTTTCACTTTGTCATTATGGGTTGTTGTATGTAGAATGTTGAGGAAAATAATGAATTTAATCCATTTTGGAATAAGACTGTAACATAACAAAATCTCAATCTCAACACTATTGAGAGTATGTAGATAAAAACAAGCCCAAAGAATCTAATTGATACGAATGAATAGGATACATGTACTTTATCAGCTTATAGAACTAGGAGTTTTATTATATGTGTGAGTGAATGTGTATGGGAGAATCATTATATATCCATTGTTCATGATCAGACATTTGATCAATTGAAGCAGGGAAATGTGGAACATTCAGAAGTTTATTAAGCGAAAAAATAAACCAGCAGAACTTTATGAGCACAACATGCAGCGGCTTTCCAGATGTTCTCTGCATCGCAACACCGTACAGACATGGACAGTAAGAGACAGTGTGTCAGACACTGTGCAAGACATGAGACAGTGTGTGAGAGAGTATGAGAGAAAGTGGGAGACAGTCCGTGGGACAGTATGTGAGACAGTCTGCGGGACAGTGGATGTTCGGCTGCAGCATGGTGTGTTCATCACGCAACGTTTCGGCTCGGGGAAATCTTGTAAATAAATGATTTCTTGTCCTCAGCATCTATAGCGCTCGTACAGGACGTCATCGCGGCTAAACGGGTCGTTGTGATCTCGGAGAAGTCTCTCCATATAAAACGTTAATCTAACTGATATCGCTCCTTCATCAATGAGGAAGAGAGCTGCCCTTTTTTTCCGGGGAATGGCGAACTAATCCAGCAGCTCAAATGAACCTGCGCCGGAGCAGGTTCAAGTTTTTCGATGTGTTGCTATGATGATTTAGACAAACGTGCTTCGGGCAACCGAAAAGCCTGATCTACGTCATCTCATCCTGAAAATTATCCGGCTAACTCTGTTAGCCACGTACGAGGAACAGGGCCCTGATACCACTGCTAAAACGATACTTTTAAAACACACCGGTGCCTAAAGAATACCTGAACCGATACTTTTTAAACTAATTTTATGGACAATTATATTTAAAAATGATGGACAATATATGAACTGTTAACAGTTTAAAGTATACGTACAGTCTCTGTAAGAGCCGGAAGTGTATATATTACTTCATTGGAATTTTGAGAATATTAATCATTTAATTCATGCTCATTGTGCAGGAACTAAAGATACGCAACATTTATTGAAAGCATTTATGCTCCTCGTGTGTATTGACGTCATGATTGCAGAAGGTGCAATACAGAAGAGCAGCATTTGTCACGAGAGCATATTGTTTATCTACCGTGTGACAGAATTTATTAATTATATATTAAGTTGACGCTTTGCTAATGCAAATATGCAGCCTCCCACCCTCACTTTTCAATATTCTGCCACTGCATCTTTAAAAAAAAGTTTTATATGGCCGAAAAAATGTTGTCAAAAGAGGGCTGAGTGAATGCACAGAAATTATGTTTACGCCCAATGTAAACAATTTACAATTAACAATTTTCAAATATATTGCAGCACCTGACTCTTGATTCTGTCGGGAACACACAGATATGTGATACCCACAGCGTTAAAGAGAAGCCGCAAGAAAACTGTCTCCAATCAAACCCTTCCTACACCTTCCAGATCATTAAGAAGTATGGGATCAGATCAGTCTCAATAATTGCAAATTCACACAGACTCGCAAATGAAAACAGAAAGATTCACAAATGCACGCAGAAGTACATTTTATAAAAAATGTAATATTTGTGTGTGGATTTTTCTATTTTCTGTTTGTGTGATCCATAATGCGTTCCACAATCACATGAGCGCAGCTTTACCCTCCCCTCCCCACGAGGCTGCCAGCGTTACAGTTGCACAATTTGCGCAGGCAGAGCGACGGGTCAGAAGTCAGCAAACAATGGCGTCTGGTACTCCTTATTCATTCACATTAGAAACGGGGCGTCCACTCCAACGGTTCTCACACATACGCGGGCACTTGATTCGTCGCGCCCGCCCCTCCCGTACTTTCCACCGGTCGGAACGGCAGCACCATCCCTCCATGTGATCTTAATGGTCTGGCCCGCGTTCGATCGAATATCTGGCCTGAACCTGAAATGAGTTTGACACGCCTGCTTTAGGGGGTTCACCAGAGGAGAGTGTGAGGGACAGAATAGAAGTGAAGAGGTGAACAAGTGCAGGAGCAGGACCAAGTGTAAAAAGTAATAGTACTACTATTCTTTCCCGTCCACTACTACTCCAAACACGTCGTCTTTAAGAGTTGATGGGTTAAACTGTAATTACATAAACTCTAGTTATACACATTTAAAGAGAAGCAGATTCAAACCACCCTCATTACAAGTTTCATATATCATTCCAGCCCATACCTGATTCCATAAATTCTTGGTTCAAGCTGTCCCAAACTTCCCTGCTCTTCTTAAGGTTCTCCTCCATGACCTTAATGTCAGCAAAGGGACAGTTGCACTCTGGGAAGCGGGGCAAGCACCGGCACCAGCAGTCGTTTTTGCGGCACAGCAGTTCGCCCTCCGAGTTGCATGCCACATAACTGAGGGCTGCCTCCACAAAGCGCCCACGCAGGAATTCCGGCAGGACATCTTGCAGGCCTGACAAAAACAAAGGAACACAAAGTATTACTTTGATTTTATACAATATATTTCCCCTCTGTACATTTGTGATGGTATTATCAAAGGCACATGGAAGTAAGTTGTTCCTCCAAAGCAGCTCAGCTCATATATCTCTCAGTGGAAGCTCTCGCAGCAGGTGCTGTAGGTGCCTTTATGATACGTTCAGACGCCTGTCCGAGGCCATATTTTAGTAGTTTGGGAAGATATCAGTAGCAACTATCACCTTTTCTGGATTCATCATAAACAACCCACTGGTCTTACATTTCTGTTGGTTTCATTATTTCTTCTTCTCGCTGTGTAACGGAGATGCCATTAAACCTGTCCATTTCTTTCTTTAGAAGTATGTAGTAGTTCATCCATCACTAGTTTGTATTAGACAATCTGATGTTGTGCCTTGTCTTGTATCTTATTCTGCAGAGAAAAGGAAGAAAAATAAATAAACCCTATACATTTATTTCCCTGTGTTTAATATAATTTTAGGCGACACTTTATATTCTTTAAATGATTTTAGCTTTTAAAAAGTCAGTGGTAATTTTTGTTTGTACTAGTTGTAATTTAACATTATGAGAAATGGGATTACTGTTTTTTAAACTGTCAAACTAAAACTGTGACACTGATTCGTTGTGGCCATAGGTGCAACATACCTGAAAGTTTCAACATCAAGAGCAGTGCAGCTTTGTATTCTTCTAAAAAAGACTGTTTGATCTAATAAGAAAAAGTCAGCTAAATTGAAATCCAGAATTAAAGAATATTGGTCTGTGTCTGCCTGTCCGTCTAATGAAGTTCCCTCTCTCCTCACTCTCAGCCAAGTCAATCCAGATATGCATGTCTTTTCCCTGGTGTCTACTCTTGCAATGTAATTAGTCACATTTTTTTGTGGACCATGCTTTGGCAGGTGCTTTCGAGTGTGTGTGGGTGTGTTTTTTGTTTGCATGTACTACTTGGAAATGTGGCGGGGGTTTCTTCAGTTTGTGAGAGCGCTAAATAACACTTAACACTCCAACTTTCCCTCGCTCTCTTCCTCCTCTCTGTTTGTTGAGCCGTCTTCGTACCTCTCCTTTTTTTAATTTCCTCTAGTTGCAATCACTCTGTTTCTCTGTGGAGAGTATATGTGGTCATTGTTTGTTTTTTTCAACTACCTCTGAGTTTGTAAGGGCTTATATCCTTTTTGCTACAGCCGTGGAGGAAGAAGCGGTAGTTCTTTCCAATTCAGCCTTAAAAATAATAATAATACACCTCTTATAACAGGGTTCATACACATTTTGACCAATGGATTTCCAGGACTTTTTCAATTCCAAGGCATACACAGTGTTTCGCCTACCATTGAGGCCCCAAGAAAGTATTTTTTATGTTTATAATTATCCACTATGGATGAGTATCGTTTGGGTTTTTCCTGATACCAGTGCTTTACTTTTAAAACATACTGAACTTTTTTTACTTAAAGTTGGACGATATATGAACAGTTTACAGTATACGTACAGTCTCTGTAAGAGCCGGAAGTATATGTATTACTTCATTGGAATTTTGGGAATATTAATCATTTAATTTATGCTCATTGTGCTAAGGATATGTAACATATATTCAAAGCATTTATGTTGGATTGCTGCTCCTTGTGTGTCTCGATGTATTGACGTCATGAATGCAGCAGGTGTAACACAGAAGAGCTGCATTAGACACAAGAGCATATCGTGTGACAGAATTTCTTAATTGTATTAAGTTGACACTTTGCTGCGTAAAATAAAGACAAAACAAAAAGAATCAAATGATCTCCTGTCATTCGCCTAAGAAAATGAAATGTGTCGTGTCTGCAGCTCAATACAGCTCAATGACAAAACAACACCGAAGGAACGCTGCTACACCCTCGGTTTAATGCTTGGAACTGTCGCCAGCAGACGGGCAGCACGCGTTGGAAAATGTGGTCGCGTACGGAGCCGCTAGCCAAAGAGAGACGTGCTGCTCAGCGTGTAGCTTCGCTAGCAGCGGCGCACTGATGTCTGCTTCCTTTAGCACGGCTCATTAATGTCAGGGATGCGGGGAAGGCAGGACTCACACACAGAGTTTCTCAAAAACATAAGACTTTAATAGTCAGAAACTCCAACACAAAATGGCCAAGGGGCAAACCCACACACAGTAACCGGGGCAAAAAGGCAGGCAGGAACGAGGAACATCCAGGACCATAGACAATGACGCGACAAGTGAAAAGAGACACACTGCTTAAATACATTAGGGAGGTGCAGGTGATTGGACACAGGTGGAAACAATCAGACAACCACAGGGGATGACAGGACAAGGCAGGAAGTGAAGTTTCCCAGGGAGACAAGAAGCAGAAACTACAAAATAAGACAGGAAATAAAACCACACCGTGACAATTAATGCCGCTCTCCGATGTTTGAAATATTTTGCCTCCACGTTACTTACATTCTGCTCGCCCTGGGTCTTTGTCTTAAATCATGACCTACATTTTTCCAAATGTAGCCCACCACAAAGCTAGGTTTGTAGCGGAAGGATACAGTTAGGGAGCAGGGATTGCTTATGGCGAGACATTCTCACCAACAACCGATCTTACAAGTATACGTATAGTGATGCAGAAGGCAGCCCAAGACGATTTGATCTTGCATCAAATGGACGTGAAAACAGCCTATCTACATTCCCCCATTGATCGAGATATCTACATGAAGCAACCTGAAGGTTACGAAAAAGATGGAGAGAAGCTAGTGTGTAACCTAGAGAAGTCAATTTATGGCCTGAAGCAATCGGGGCCTAATTGGAATGAGATCCTCCACACATGTCTAGCAGATGACAACTTCACTCAGAACCTGACAGGCCACTGCATCTACACAAAAGAGTCTAAAGAGGCAGGGAAGATGATAATAGTTATCTGGGTGGAAGAGCTAATCATTGCAGCCAGCAATAACGAGAGTCTAGGGAAAGTGAAAAACAGTTTCTACCAGATTTAAGATGAAGGACCTAGGCAGGTTGAAGTATTTTCTGGGCATGGACTTCAGCCAGTCTGACGGATATGTAAAAGTGTCACAAAGGAGGTTTGTTGGAAAGATACTGGAACGTTTCGACATGCAGGAATGTAGGATTAGAGAAACACCATGTGAACCAAGATGCGGCTATAATGTCTGATATCAAAAAGTACAGGGAGGCTGTGGGCAGTCTCATTTACTCAACAAACCTGTACACTTCCAGACATACAGCGGGTGAAATAAGTATTTAACACGTCACCATTTTTCTCAGTAAATATATAGGAGCTATTGACATGAAATTTTCACCAGATGTTGGTAACAACCCAAGTAATATACATACATACATACATAGGAACCAAAACAAAGAAGTTCAGAAATAAAGTTATGTGTAATAATGGGAAATGACACAGGGAAAAGTCCCATGAAGCAAGGGAAGTGCAAAAAGGTATGGAAAGCCAAGACAACAGCTGAAAACTATCAGTAATTAAAAAGCAATCCAGACCCTTCAGTCAGTGATAAATTAAATCAGTTGGTTCAGTCCCAACTGATGGCCTACAAAAAGGTCTCATTGCCAAGGTGTCACACAAGACACATCCCATGATGGGTAAAAGCAAAGAGCTGTCTCAAGACCGTCGCAACCTAATTGTTGCGAAACGCAATGATGGCATTGGTTATAAGCGCATTTCTAAGCTGCTGAATGTTCGAGTGAGCACTGTTGGGGGGCCATAATACGGAAGTGGAAAGACAATCATTTCACCATAAATTTGTCCAGGTGCTCCTCGCAAGATTTCTGACAGAGGAGTGAAAAGAATAATCAGAGTTGTCCAAGAGCCAAGGAACACTTGTTGAGAGCTTCAAAAAGACCTGCAATTAGCAGGTTCTGTTGTCTCAAAGAAAACCGTAAGTAATTCACTCCACCGCCATGGCCTGTATGCACGCTCACCACGCAAGACTCCATTGCTGAAAAAAAAGCATATTGAAGCTCGTTAAAAGTTTGCTGCACAACATTTGGAAAAGCCAGTGAAATAATGGGGGAATGTAGTGTGGTCAGATGAGAGCAAAATTTAACTTCATGTGGCCATAATACACACCATGTTTGGAGGAGAACTGGAACTGCACATCACCCTAAAAACACCATACCAACAGTGAAGTTTGGAGGTGGGAACATCATGGTGTGGGGCTGCTTTTCAGCAAATGGTACTGGCAAACTTCACATAATTGAAGGAGGGATGAATGGGCAAATTTACAGAGACATTCTTGACAGAAATCTGCTGCCATCTACAAGGATGATGAAAATGAAACTAAGGTGGACATTTCAGCAAGACAATGATCCCAAACACACAGCCAAGGAAACTCAACTGGTTTCAAAGAAACAAAATAAAGCTGCTAGAATGGCCCAGCCAATCACCTGGCTTAAATCCCATTGAAAATCTATGGAAAGAACTGAAGATAAAGATTCATAGAAGAGGCCCACGGAACCTTCAAGATTTGAAGACTGTGGAAGAATGGGCCAAAATCACACCAGAGCAATGCATGAGACTAGTTTCTCCATACAGGATGTGTTTTGAAGCTGTCATTACCAACAAAGGCTTTTGTACAAAGTATTGAATACATATCGGTAAGCATGTTCAATACTTTTCCCTGTGTCTTTTCCCATTATTACACAACTTAGTCTCTTGGAAAGCGAATAAGCAACCCACGGTAGCACTTTCCCCATGCAAAGCCGAGTACATGTCTCTAGCTCTAACAATACAGGAGTGTATTCATTTGGAGCAACTACTGGGAGGGATGGATTCCTATGTGTATGACAAAACTGTTGTCTATGAGGTTTCTCTTCACTGTAGCCAGACTGACCGTCAGTAGTAACAACTTCAATGATAAGATTCTGACTATCAAAGCGAAAATTGATGGTCTCCTGCCTTTAACTAGTGCCGACTCGTCCTCTGATGTAGGAACCTTGGATGCCGCAGTGGGCCCCTACTTGCCTTCACTTCCATCAACCTTGAT